GTTTTTTGGTAGACTTAATACAGACAAATCAATTAATTTCCATGCCAACTACCAGGACCTTATACACTCAATTCTAACTTCAAATGCTACTCCTATTCCACCACTTCCTACACTTATTATCGAACAATCTCAAATACCAACCTTTTTCATACCCAGTGAAGCCACTCAGACCCTTCAGTCAATAGCTACCTACAATCAAAATGCCTCTAATCTTAATTTTTATACTGACAGCTCTGTTACAAACATAGGTACCTCCCAATGCTCTATAGATATTGGTTGGTTACAAATACAAAATCAAACTATACTCCATACCTTCCAAGCCAAAATCGAACTCTGGCCTTGCTTATACAAAGCAGAACTCATAGCAATAGTATCAGCTATCTGCACTGCTCCTAGAAACTGTACTATACAAATTTTTACAGATTCCCAATCAGTTATTTCAAAGTTTCACAATCTTTCACACAATACTCATAATACAAACTTCATAAATACTCCTTAATGGTCTGTTTGGAACACTCTTTTAAACTTTTCTAAATCCTATAATTTAAATCTTATATTTTACAAAGTCAATGCACATCAGGATGACATTTTTAACAATGTAGCTGATCAACTAGCCCAAAATCACCAGCAAGCACATATCTTACATTTAATACAACTAATATATACAACTCTTTGTTTACCTTTAGCTCTAACAATCTCCCAATTAAACCATAGTATTAGAACAATATGTCACATACATATTTTCGCCAACTGGTCATCCCAAAACTAGTTCCAAAAATAGATCCCAATTACCTCTCTAGTCAATTGGCAAGCAACCTGGCTCTATCTCAATAATAACCAAAAAATATCTAACTTTTTACACAACTTCCAATCCTCTACATACAAATCTTTCAGAGTCAAATTACTTTTAGATGATCTACCAACGCCTAACATCCTTCATAGAAGGAATCCTTCCTACCCTAACAAATGTCATATATGTCAACAAGAAAGTAACTCACTTCACTGGATATCCTGCCCATCCCCTGAACCTCTATTTAACCTTATTTGTAGCTCTTTAGAACATATTTTATGTCATAACAAACTTCAAATCCCACATCTTCAAACACACAACCTCCACACCTCTATTCTAAATCTTGATAGTTTTCAAGCCCACCAACTTACTCATAAACCTTCCTTAGCTTCTACTCTCTGGCTTAGTACCAATTGATATTATTAACACATTAAATGAGCATACTACATTCAGCAAAACAGCAACATCTCTTACTATTAAACTCCTTGAAATTAATTGTCGAATATACAAAACATTATGGATTCCCTACTGCATATCAAGATCACAAATTGACTCTACAACTTCATCTCCACTTTCTTTTATTTATACCTCTAACACATTTAATGCCTCTAATCAGTCAAATATTGAATCTAACTTAATTAATCTCTTGCATAAATTTGAAACATGGTATACTTACTGGACCAAATATTTAATACACTCATCTTATATTATTACTAACACTCAAATCTAGGTGAGCCTTGGCCACTCTGGTTGGTTTAGTCCGTAGATAAAAAACTAGGTGTCTATTAGGCACTTTTAGTTAGTCTGAGTTCTTATTCTTAGCATTAGGTTTATACAATAAAATTTTTTCCGATTTTGTAAAAAATTTTGATTAAATTTAATAAAGATAAGAGCAAGGTCTCACCATTAACATTAAAAAAAAATAAAAAATAAATTGGGTTTAAAATAATCAAATAAAAATTTGTTTTTTTAAATAGGTTTATTATTATTAGTTTACAACTTTTTAACTAGTTTTTTAATATATAATATACATATTATTATTATTATAAATAAAAATAATACAGTATATAATAATTGTTTATAAATAAGCTATTAGTAAAAATCAACCAAATTTGTTTAAATTGATTGTATGTAAATAAATCTAGTTGTTAGTAAAATAAGGTATAAATTTACAAAATAATTATTTACGAAATAAGCAACACCAGAATAAAAATACCCTTTTTAATATTCTTATACAAAATACTCTGTTACAAAACAAAAACCCCTTTTATATGTATATATGTGCATAAAATTTATCTATCTTGCGACACAGACCCATTACTGCATAATATACCCGGATTTTTTGTAAGTCTTTTTGTTGGGTATAGTATTTTATATTAGACCTCGGATATTTTAGTTAGTGCACTATGTATTAATAAATTTTTACTACATTATCTCAAAAACTGATTAATTAATTAAGTAAAAAATATTTTATACCTTTGAGAACTCTTTTTAAACTTTAAATTTAAGCTTAAATACTAACCCAAACGTGAAAAAATTTTGAGATAAAAATTTTACGTACGAAACTTATAAACATTTAAAAAAATTTTCAAAAAAACATATAATAGGGATGCAAAAACATCATAGGTGCGTTTTATAATAATATATTAATGCTGTACACATTATTAATATAAATCAAAATTTTATATTAATAAAAAAAATTGCAAGAAATTGGGGCAAAAAAAAAAAAAAATTTTTTTTTTTTTTATTCAAAAAGCTCACCTTTTTTTGTAAAATATTGGTTATAATGTGAGATTTTTGCCAAAAAACATAATTTAAAAATAAATTTTGTTACTAATGTTCGTGCTATTTAATATGACTATAAAGCTTAATTATATGATCATCTTTTTTTTTAAATAGTATTTTTGTTTAAACGTCTAATTACATAATTTATACAGTTTTAAGGATGATAAAAATGTTTTAAGTTGATAGCTATAAGCTATATGTATATTCCACGACAAATAATGATAATAATAATATTTTTTTTTTGTTTTTTGTTTTTTTGTTTGGTTATTGGATGCCTCAAAAAGAAAAAGAAAAAAAACCCCAATGTTCATTACTTATTGTTCTTTAATTTTTATCTTTCATTCTTTCAACAACTGCTTGTATTTCCAAAATATCAGTTATTATTCCTTCTAGTAGTTTTTTTCTCGAAAGCCCACCCACTTCAAAAAACAGACGCAATAACCCTAAGCGTATATAAGAATCAGATAATCTATCAGCAGGATGCCCTGCTCCCATTTCCCAGTATTTAAGATCGTTCATACAAAATTTCATATGTGCCCAAAGAGTTGGCCAATGATGAGGTTTTTCATCGCGAGAAGGTTCCATTATTTGACTATATACTGCATGTTTAAGTTGGTCAACACATTCTTGAACGTTTCGAGCACTTTGATCACAAACTAAAGCAGTTGATAGTTTTATTGCTTTTTGAATCGGTGGAAAGTCTTTGAAAGTATCTAGTGATATATTTGAAGACATTTTTTTCCCTCGTTCTATAAAAATATAAATACGAATAGTTGGAAGAGATGTAAAGAGTGAAAAAGGAGTGAAAAGGAAGGACGCTATTACAAGGAAAAGAGATAATAAAGTATTCTTATAGAATGAAGATTTTTTGTCAACTGCGTGCGTACGTACATTTAAGTAAATAAATTTTATCCCATGTTCAAGTCATACCTAAATAAAAAGGTAAAATTCTATTGGTATTAAGATGAAAGTCTTACCAAACTTAGTATTCTAATGTAACTATGGATAACAAGTGATTAAAACAATATACAACATGAATTTATTATCTGCAAAAGTTTAATATTGTTATAAGTTAGCACTATGATATGCAAAACTGACATCATCTACAAATGTTACTATTTTAAGGAACTATGCTCCAAACAAACCGGTTAAAAGATTATAAATAGTATGCAAGGAAACAGTTTAAGGAAAAGCTTTGCAGTTTCAAAAATTGGCCAATATTGCAAAAGTCCGATACAGTACAATTCTGCCAGGATACTAATCTTAGTTATAAACCCATATATTCTTTTGATTGCGTACGTATTATAATTTTTTGTATATGCATTCTATAAAAGTATATAAAGTAGATCCGAATAAAAACGCGCACATTATATATGCGGTGAAAATCACGCGCATCATAGTCAAATCACGTAAATGATATAAAATTCATGATTTCATGATTATTAAATATATGTATGTTTTATGACGTAATATGTTATTAGGATCTATGACATTCAGATTAGATAAAATATTCATTTTGTAATTAATATCCTTTTACAGAATAAAATGCATTTACAAATTAGTATAGGTGTTTTTTATTATTTTTATTATCATTATATTTATTTATTATTTTTATTATCATAATTTCATTGGCAATGCAAGCTCAATCTAGTTTATCTGATTCTAAATTTAATAAACAAAGTGTTATTAAAAGGTGTTCACTTTTATTAGTGAAAAATCGTACGACATAAATTGTTGTTAGAAACTTTAAATCCTTGCAGTATAATGATAGGCGGGGAGTATAAGTAACAAACTCCGCTGATGATTAGTAATCTTATGTTATATAATCATGTGATAATAGATGGAGATTCGGAGAAATCTAATCTTTTCTCCATTCTTTTGAAAAAATTTTATAGCTGAACTTATGATCATAATGTAAATAAGATACGTAAGCACGTACGTATATACGTACTGTACGTACTGTACGTACGTCATTAAACGTTATTCTTTATTAACAATATAATTTTTCTACCAAATTTGGGGACAATAACTAAGTTTAGTAGTATAATCTCATTTGTCGGTCATGAAACGAATGAACAATGAAGTAATAAAAGTTCTATATCAAATAATTAGAAATATAATTTCTATATCAATAATTAGAAATATAATTTCTATATCAAATAATTGGAAATACAAGTTCTATATCAAATAATTAGATAATTGAGAAAATCTTGCATATACATTCGATAGGCATTTGATCTAAAACTGAATATACGAATGCCATTATGCCCAATTCAAGAAAGTAATCTTCAGAATCATAGGTTATAAATGAGTACGGAAAATTTCAAGATTTTGCCCTGCCAATTTAATGAACTAACAACTTCTTTCTCTTAATTCCAATTTTCACAAAACTCCTATTCTTCAGCTTCTTTTTGTTCTTAAAATATGGTCGATACACAACAAGATTTGATATATATAAACGAAGTGCTGAGCTCTTCCGAGATCAGTTCTTTATTATTTCATCCACCATACCCATTGACGCTCACAGTGGAAGAATTAACTAAAGCACCAACTATGAAAAATAGTAAATCCAAATACGGCGCTTCCTCTGATAAAATTCCTCGTCCTTCAAATCCATTTATGATATATCGTAAAAATTACGCTGCCAAAATGAAGTCAATGCATTTGGCCGCACATACAACTAAAACTTCCGCGAAAGTAGCAAAAATTTGGGCGCAGGAATCTAAATCAGTGAAAAGATTCTTTGAGATTTTATCTTTAATGGCCAAAAAGAATCATTTGTTGATGCATCCGAATTATAAATTTCAACCAGATAAAAGCAAGAAACAAAAAGGATTGAAGTTTCGTGAGTTTTGTTTGAAGAAAACGATTAATAAAGATAATTCTAAAAAATCTCATGATTTAACCGTGACCACATCGATCACCACTATTAGATCCATAACTGATGATAAATATCAATCTTTCGACAATTTATCAAATGCTCAACAAGAAATTTTATCGTCGCCTGAATCAAATACTCTCTCCGTTCCACAATCACATCAACTGTCTTTCTGAAATTGATGATCCATTTTCATTATTTTCTTATTCTTGGATATATTAATACAAAAAAAAATTTTTATGATTATCATTTATTCTTAAATTTTTATTAAATTTTTATTAAATGTATGGACGAATGTTTTTTATAGTTTTTAAGAGATAATCTTTCAGAAATATCTTTTACTTAGTTAACTGAATTGTTTTTCTTAATCCGGGAAAAGGTCAGTGATTATATTTTGTTAATCGTTATGGTTATTATATATTATGCGTTATGTTATTTTGTTATCATGATTTGTTCAATCTAAGATTTACTTTAGGAATAAAAAAGAAAGATATCGAAATTAGTATTTATCATTATTAGAATCGTAACATTACATTGTGACAAAACTATAATAATATCACATGCAAGATTACCTTAATATTTCTAGTTTTTAAAAACGATCCCTAACGGGTCGAGCCTCAATTTTGAGACCTTAAACCAGAATGCCAAGAATTTAATTATATGGCGGTTTGAAGTCACAAAAGTCAAGCTTCCTTCTAAGACCTTGGGATCTTGTTTTTTTTTATTCCAGAGACATATTATGGCGGTTTGCAAAAAAGGCGTGACCTCTGCAGATCATGATGTCCGTTATGATCTCAAACCGCCATAATATGTTTCTGGAATAAAAAAAAAACAAGATTCCAACGACTTAGAAGGAAGCTTAACTTTTGTGACTTCGGAGTCACAAGAGGCGCCGCCGTAAACCGCCATAATATGTTTCTGGAATAAAAAAAAAAACAAGATCCCAGCGTCTTAGAAGGAAGCTTGACTTTGGTAATCGTAAATTTTTTGCCTACCAAGTTCTTTAGAAATTTCCATATTTCCATAATTTCTACGTGTGACTAATGTGTAGTTTTCTTTTCAAACGTTTTTTTTTCGATAATTTAATGATGTTTCAAATATTTTTGCAAATATTTGATCCTTAAAATTTCCATATTTCCATAATTTCTACATGTGACTGATGCGTAGTTTTCTTTCCAGGGATATTCAAATGCTTATTTTTTCGATAATTTAACGATATTTCAAAAATATTTGATTCTTATGTAATTCAACATTCTGATTGGTTAATTTAAAATTTTAAAATCACATGAAATTCTTATTCCTTCGACTAGGAGTCGGTGAAAACAAATAAGTGATCATATTGGCTGGTTGATGGTATTGATTGATACATAACATAGCGATAGTGCTCTCTGAGCTGGTTCATAAGAGCTAATCTACTAATTAATTATGTAATGTTGTAATGCGAAGCTTTAAAACAAATACCTAATTCAACCATTTTTCTTGAAAATTTGCTTAAGAAACTGGTTTTGTATTGTTTATAGAGAGCTTCCGCTACTACCAAAATTTCGCAAGAAACTTTTGTTAAGGCGCAGAAGGTAGCTTCATAGGTAAAATGTAGTTATGAACAATTTTTGGATTGTTTTGATGTTTTGCGTTCCTTTCGTGTTGAAGTAATTGTTAACGTTTGGTGTTACGTTGAATTACTTTTCTGGGAAATTTTGGTGGATTGGCATTTATTTTTGGTAATTGATTTTCTTCAAGTTAGCTATTAACGCAGCGCTTCGAAGCACGAAGCACTGCGCAGTGCTAGCTCTGATTTTTTCGGTTGTCGAAAAGATGTTCAATATATAAGTGATGACAGTAAATGGTGATTAAAAAAAGGTGAACAAAAGAAAAAAAAATCTCAATTTGCATACTATGAAATTACCAATTTAGAAAATGATCCGAATAAATAATCCACTATTGTCTTAATTTGTTTGATTGAAATTTTGGTAATTGATGCTTCTAGAGTTTAGAGACTGGACTCGTCAATCCGAAACTCGAATCATGATTCGAGTTACTCGAGTATTAATATTTTTAATTAATGACTGGACTCGAGTACTCGAGTCACGAAATTTATTGTAAATTAAACTAAATATATTTAATTCTCGAGTAACTTGAGTAACTCGAGTCATGATTCGAGTTTCGAGTTGACTCTGCTAGAGTTATGCATGAATGGCAAAAATATAGACCAAAACTGACTGATGAATTTTTTTATCATTTTCGCCATTACACTTTACGGCTGATTTCATAATTTCTGAAACACTTAAATTTGCTGAATGATTTTTTAGCTGATTTTTGATTGAGTATTCTCAAGCATCTCAAGCATCTCAATCAATCAATTAAATAATAATCATGATAACACTCAAGCATCACAACCAATGACGATATTTATAGAATTAAATGCATTTTATTTTTTACGTATAATCTTTACGCTTCCTAAAAACCTAATAATAAAATTTTTTATCCAACCATCTGTCAAAACTTCAACTTCAGTTTTATTGGTTTCACCTCTTAATGATTTTTTACCAATTAAATTTTTGTTGCAACAGTAACAAAATCAACTTATGGCTTATGGAGTCATTAGCAAAAATTGCTTTGTGAAAACAAGTAAATCTTTTTTTGCCGAAAACAACTGTCCCTTCTGCCTTGTGCTATACAAACTAACAGTGAAGAGTATCGAATGAACTGCCTAAGGCTACGATTGTTAAACTGATGGCAGGGAAAACCGGGTTAGCAGAAAAAACAGAAGCTACCTTTTCTGGGAAAAAACCCGTTCCTCTTAAATACTACTAACGCTTATTAATCTCAAACAAATACTACGTCATTACGTCACAAAATCAAATAGAAATCATACGGTAATCATGACACGAAATCATACAATAAATCACTATCATGCATCAAACGACTCAATAATCAATTACAAAACACCCGTGGCAGCTAATAAAGATTCAGCTTTTCCATGTTCTTTCTTAGCCGCATAGTGATCTTTGATATTTCCCGAAATTCGCTTAGCCAATTCAGCAATTAAGGTAGTGACTGGACTCGTCAACTCGTGACTCGAATAATTCGAGTTCGAATTATAAATTTTTTAACTCGCGAGTACTCACGAGTTAATTATTTGCATTAATAAACTTTGTAAGTTGCATAAATAATGTCGTAATTTTAACGTAATTATATGTAATTCTTTAAAATGTAAATAAACTATGTACGTAATTTACTGCAGTCGCAAACTTTTAATAAAAATAGAAATTTTTAAAAGACTTAAAAGCAATTTCATAATATAAACATAGAGCAAAACAAAAAGCACTAATGAACGGGAAGAATCTTGTAATAAAAAGAATGTCAAAACACAAATACCAATATGTCTAAAAGTAGATCTACTCCAAGTTTCGTCTGGGAATATTTTCACTTGTGAAATTATAATGGTTGACGGGAAGGAAATGGTAAATGACCTAGTCATTTGATCAAAATTTAAATGACCTCAAGTCATTAAATAATGACCTGCCATTTAGGTCATTGAGGTCATTTGAATCATTTGCGCATAAAATAATTTTATTGGTTTGTTTGATTACTAAAAAAGTTATTGGATTTCTAGCCGTTAATCGTAGCTCCATACACAGTAGGGCTGTTAAAAGTCCGATCCTTTCGGTCCTGACTTTGTAAATAGGGACTTCGATTAGGACTCGGTACTTGAGTCGAGTCCGTACATGTCATAATCAGATAAATCTCGATATAAATTAGCCAATCATATGAATGCCTCCTGATCACAATACGAACAAACAACATGCATTTGGCCAATTATATGGATCACAAATTGGAACAAAAGACATGCATATGGGACTTTGTACGGGACAGGTTTGAGTCAGTCCTGAAAAGTCCGTGTGAAGTCGACTCAAGAACCGAGTCCAACAAGCTTTTTAACAGCCCTAATACACAGTATAAGTTAAAGCTTTACTTAGTTAATCATTATTTACAGTATATCTTAAGTAGTTCGGAATAACAAATTGCACATACTCTAAGTTTTATGTAATTTGAATAACTCTTTATTCACTTCCGCATTTCACATTTAAATAAAAAAATTCTTAATCTTTCATAAATGCGAAAGTGAATAAAATGGAATAAAATAAAATTATTATGGCCAATCAAATCTGAAATTATTCCAAAAATTGAAATTTGATTGGATACTTAATATTTATTGATCGTGCCAAAATAAAATGGAATTTTATTACGGAAGTATTCACCGTCCTGTTCAGAGTTGATTTGAAATTTCGAAATCAGAAAATGAAAAAGGAGTTGTCCGGAGACAAAATAAACAAACTTTTTTTGATTATGTATATTATATCTTATTATACAAATAGGCTTGCAAATAAAAATAAATAGGCAAATAAAAATAAATAGGATTTATAGATCGCTGATTACAAAATTAATGCGCCGCTGATTTAATTCGAAATCAGGAACCTGAACCTTAAGTCTGAAACCCCAATAAAAGTTATTCAAATTACATAAGACTTTTGGAGTATATGCAATTTGTTACTTTGAAGCTTCACTTAAGACATAAATATTGACTAGCTTAATAAATTTTGACTTTTAAAAGAGTTACGATTATTAATTATGTTTTTCACATAAAAATTTGCATTTATCCTGTAATAATTTTTTATTGATTAAAAAGTGGTAGAACACCAATTAACGTGTGTTAAATGACCTTCTCAGTCATTTAGACATTCGAAATGACCAATGACTAGTCATTTCAAGTCATTTACCGCAGAATATTTAAAAATAGTTCTAGTCGATCTAGTGATATGATTATGAATCAATTTATTGCATTCGTAACTTGTAATTGATATATTTGTTTTATAACATATAAATTGAATTATACTTGCTTTTATAACATACAAAATTGAATTATATTTGCTTCATGTAACTCGATATTTAGTTTTTATAACTTGCAATTTATAAAATTTATCAATAAAATAATTATCATGACTCGAATAAGTAATTCAATCGAATGATTCAAGCACCCTTCTTGGTTTAATTCGCAAGTCACGATTTATACGAGTTCAGTCGCTAAATTAAGGCACCTTTAGCTGTTAAGATTCACATTAAGCTGTCCAATATTTATTTTTTCAGCCTTAACTATTGGCTCATTCAATATAAT